ACACCAAACACACCAAGACATCTTATTTGCGGCCAGGTACTCAGACAACACAGAATATGTTCTGAGGAGAAAATCTGGGATACACACCTTAATACTCTTAAAACTACCTTCACCAAGCAAGGACATTCCATAAGAGAAATAGACCACATTATGGATTCTCATCAGTCCATACCTGAACTCAAATGGCATATCAAACAACTGCAACCCTTACGTGATGGGTACTTATTTGCGGCCAGGTACTCAGACAACACAGAATATGTTCTGAGGAGAAAATCTGGGATACACACCTTAATACTCTTAAAACTACCTTCACCAAGCAAGGACATTCCATAAGAGAAATAGACCACATTATGGATTCTCATCAGTCCATACCTGAACTCAAATGGCATATCAAACAACTGCAACCCTTACGTGATGGGTACCAAATCCTCAAAAATCTTTCCAGAATACTCTCTTCTGGAGTTCAAATCCCTTACCCCCAACCCCACAGAAGCAAACTTTCCACAGACTAAGATACATCAACTCAAAATGGCACCAGACTCTGCCAGAACACCCAAAGAACATGCAGAAATATCTTCAGTGCTATGATAATCAACACCCACATCAAACATCTTTCAAGATCCAGGGGTCCTAATGCCTATCACAACATTGGGTGGTCATCAATCAGTACATTAAATGCCCCAAACAATTACCACGTGAGTGAAAATGGACAAATGCTATGCTTTCAAATGAACTCACACAAATATGACAGAAGACAAAAATATCCTATCAAAAATATCCTCTCATCCACGGCAAACATGTTTCACAAAATATCTACTCCATATTAGGGATGGTAAAATGTAGTTCAATGTGTAACCATGTAACCGCTGAAAACTCAGTTACACAGTTATGAGCACTTGCAGCTGGCTCATCAGGAGCCCGTGTGCACTGTTCCTGAAGAGCAGCCTGACACGCCACGCTGCTGTCTCTGATACCGAGGCAGCAGTCCGGGGTAGGAATGTTAACGACTAGTCAACTATCCGATAAGAAATGCCTATCAAGTAGTCAACACACTAGTCAATTAGTTGCTTCCCCCACCATTGCTGCTTCTATTGGAAAGAGGCAGAGGGGTGGGGGGAAGAGGTGGGGTGATTCAAAGCGGCAGCACCGCATGGAGCCTGAGGCCAGACCCTGGGCTCCATGTGGTGCTGCCGCTTTGAAACACCAGGTGTAGCCGGAGCCATTGGGGGACTCACCCACTGACCCTGGACTCTTGTGGTGCTGCTGCTTTGAAATACCGTGGAGAGCTTGAGGCCAGCTGGGGACTGCTTGAGTTCCTCGCAGCACTTTTGCCAGCTGTTGCTACACTTCAAAGTTGGAAGCGCCCTTATTGACTAATCAAATTAACAAATTAATCTAAATTTAACATTCCTAGCGTGGGATGGCAGGCAGCTCTCCAGGCTACATGAACACTAATAGATAAACCCGGGCTTATCAGTTATGGTTATACATTCACATCCCTAATCCATCTCTGACCTGTCAGTCCTAATTTTCAAAGGAAACCTGCATAACACATTCAAATGATAAGCATGGGAGATTAAATTTGGAACTCCACTAAGAATAAAAAACATTGACACAAAGACACTGTTTTCATTTCTCTTCGGTCTTATGACTGCATAGATGTTAATTTTATGTATTTCATCTTGTATGGTTGCTTGCAATATATGTTAACTCCTTAACAATTTGCTCCACCTTTATTTAGCTGCAACACTCTGATCACCTTTCCCAAACCCGAAGTAGAGCTCCGTGGGCTCAAAAGCTTGTCTCTTTCGCCACCAGAATTTGGTTCAATAAAATATATTACCTCATCCCACCTTGTTTCTGTGACAAGAGAGATTCGCATTTGTTCAGTGCAAATCTATTCAACTCTGGCCAGGATTTACAAATCCTACAGAACAGTCGCTCTATCACCATCTTTCTAGTAGTTTTCTCTTCAAGAAAACCAACAGTTTTTAATTTGAAATACTAAGTACAGTGAGACCTCCAGTACTAAAACAAAATTTAATCCACCATCACAATAGAGAAGGAAGTGTTCAAATAATGAGAAAATGAAATAAATCTCTCAGGCCTCCAAAAGGTATCCTGAAATAGAACAGAAGGTTCCTCTACTATAGTTCCTAAGATACACCTACACATAAACCCACTGAAGCCTAAATATAAGATGATAAAAAAAGCACAGGAATGTGAAATTTTATTTTTTCAACACAGAACATTTTCTAGCAATTCAACTGAACAATTCAACTTTCTGATGTCCTAAGTGTGTGATAAAGAGTGATATCAGAAAAGTGTTTTTTTTTTAACTCAGTTAAGAAAAGGAAGATATCAGGTTTGTGTTAGAGATAAATTTGGCTGTGTAACGAGAAATTATGAATACAAATGTATTCACAAGTGCCGCCAGGTGCCTTCCACTGTGCTTCTGTTGTTTAAGCGTATTTAGAGCAGGCTCTTAATACATTTAAAAAGCAGAGGCACTGTGTTCTGGGCCTGGGCACGAACCGGGAATCAGCTGATTCTCAGCTAGCTCCCAGTCCCTGCTACTCCCAGCTCACCTCCCGCTATGGAGATGGTGCTGGGCTGAACTGGCTTTTGAGCACCGGCTCCT